TTTCCTGCAATTTTCAGAGTTGGCTGATCTTGGGGGTTATGGAATCATTCCATTGACTTATTTCTATTTGGAGTTTATTACATTCACGATAAAATCGCTGTTCATTTCAACACTCAAAGCAACGAAAGCACGTGCACTCCGTCTTGCAAAAACTTCACAGACCACAGGATATTCCTGAGTGTCGGGATAATGCACAGGCCAAGTCTATCTCCATATTACAAGTGTAAAAGATGTGTAAATCTCACCCGCCCCGCGTGATGGGGGGGGGCCGGACTGTAGTCCACTGCGCCCGATGAAGTGTCGCAAGTTGACAAATCAAGGGAGTTTCATTGGTGATGGAAGGCATAAGTCCCCGACCACCACCCAACAGTATGCAAAGTTTAACTACGAAAAATAATGATGATTGTCTCAACTTTGCTATTTGAAACAGCTTGCCACTTCTCTCTTCCTAATGAGCCTAATCCCCAAGGCTTTACCTATACCCTGAGACCCATCGATGAGCCTGTCCGGGTACAGTTTAAGGTCAAGGGCAGTCACCATGTAGCGATAGCCCTGGCAGAAGGGCCATTTGATTGTACCATCTTTGCAGAGATAAGTAAGGCCCGTCTCAGACGTCGTGCTTCTGCCGTGTCGAACTAAATTGAACTTGGCGCGGCAAAAGCACGGCGGTGGTTTCGAACGTCGAACTTAATGTACTTGTATCGTGTGGGGTGCACCCTCGCACAAAGGCCAGAAACCTGTCCGCCGAGCTCATGAATAAAAGTTATACTCAAATATTCTATATTAGAGGGTCCTGAGAGCCATGGAACTGGGGAATTGAAGAAACGTGGCACTGAACCACTGGGCCGGATTCAGAGCTTCAAATTCTGAGCAATTTGGATGCAATCGGGTCCGAAAGTGGCACTATTTGAGCCATTTTGCAGGGGATGCATTTTCAAAATGGCTACTTTCCGGGGAAGTTAAATTTCCTTCGTGTTTAGGGTGGTCTGCTTTAGTTGAGAATTTCTCAAAAAGTCATTGGTTAACCCGATAAAAATTGAAAGGAAAATGAAAGAGGACATGTGGAACATCATTTTTCTGAGCACCCTGAACACCTGTGAGAGTTGTGAGTATTTTAAAAATATTTTTGAAGTAGGACCTATGGGGATTTATCACTGCTGTCTATGGGAATTTATTTGCAGTGGTGCACCCTGCGTGTCCTCCATGTAAGTCGTCATGTTTGTTGATAGGGATAGTTTATTCACATTTCCTTCCTCGCGATGGTACGCTCGTTGGCGCATGCACAATTCGAACTAGGTGCCCCATCTTCGAATTGAAATTGTATCCGACACGGCAGAAGCACGACATTTGAAACCGTGCCGAGCTTGTACCGTTCGAAACGGCAAAAGCACGGCAGACCCTGTCGTGGTAGTGCTTCTGCCGAGCCAAAAATCAAGGTGCCAAGTCGAATGGTTTCAAACGTCGTGCTTCTGCCGTGCTAAATTTAAAAAAAAATCATTTTATTTAAGTTCAACTTGGCAGAAGCACGACGTCTGAAACTGGCCTTTAGCTGATTTAGAATTGACAAGCTCAGTACTCAGTTGCTGCAGACAGCTATGGCGTGCTAAGTTAAATTTAATCCGCGATACATATATGTCTAATCTTAGATTAGGGATTAAATGTTTACTTTGCACGCCATAGTTTTGGCGGTTATATGCATGCATTATGTCAACAACACCGCTCTTGTTCTTTGGATTTCTAGTCTTAGTCCGGGAGCTAGCAAGGCGAGGTTTACGTAACATGGAAGGTACAAAGGTTTGAGACGCTAGGGGTGTAGCAGTTGCCTACCCTTACACAGAACTGCCACTTCTGTTCCGCCAGTGGTGGGTGTTGGAGAGGGTGCACCTTGAAAATCCTCCAAAATTGAATTTAATTTACATGTAAGGCTCCAATCCATTTCTATGCTAAATGATTAAGGACACTTCTCTTAATGCAAATCAGCGACGTAAGAAAAACATTTTCGGTGGAACGACGCTAAATAGCGTTTTAATTAACATGAAAATACAAGTTTGAAACCGAGTCAGGAAGTTAGAGGGTGGTGGCCTCATTCAGATTCACAAGTATAAGAATGAAAACAGTAGTGAATCTAAATTCAGGATAACAAGTTTTTTTGCTGAAATCAGTCTAATAACCATACTAATTAAAATGAAATACAAAAAAGCACTCTCGTGATTGTTGTCTCGTATGTTCACATGTAAATTACACAAAACATGAAGACCTTTCCTGTCATATTGATCAAACTGTTGCCTTCAGAAGCAAACGATTTACGGTACAAGTTGTCAAGGCAGTAACGCATGGTAGGTTTGGGCTTAACGTAGCCCTCTGTAGTAATGGATAAGGTATGTTTTGCTCCAATTAATCTTCCAGTTCTTTGTCATTGTCTGGTGAAGACAGCTCTTCGTCTTCATTTGAAGACGACAGCTGGAAAACACCATTACTTTCCTCATCATTGGTTGCCTCCTGGTACCCGTTGCGTCTGACAGCTAAGGACCGCAGAAGCACACAGTCTCATACAAATCGTCCTCCACTTGCCAACCATCATCTTCTGTAGGATGCGCTGCTGGATCTCTGTCGAATACGCCGCTTTGCCCACATTCTTGCAACAAACGACGTCTGTCCTATGTTGGGAAATTTCTGCAGTACAGGGTGGGATCACTGTCGGGTCGATGCCCTTTAGTTTCACCAGTGGGTCCTTGCTTGTGGATCGCAAGCGGTAAGTTAGAACAGTTTAATGAGTTAAAAGAGAAACTCCACAACAAGGCAGATACTCCGATGAGAGTCAATCCGAGATCGAAGAACGGGCTAAAACGCTGGCTAGAGGCATGTTTGAGAAAGAAAAGAAGCCATGCTAAAGAAGCTGAGCAGAAGCGAGTGAGTGGTTGGTCCTTGAAATTGGTCAAACACCAACATGGATGGTATTTGGGACCTTGAATTGCATGAGCGAGCGAGCCACCGGGGTACCAAGAGACTTATCCTGAAGCAAGCGAGTCAGTTGCTACGGCTCCACCCGTAGAGATTATTAATAGTAAACCATAAACGTTATTGAATCTTCATCCGGGGCGTAATTGTCTTTATAACATTCACAATTGGTCAATCCGTTGCAATTAACCCAATATAAACAGTTATCCCGCTTGGTACAATTACTACACGCTTGACATTTATCGCAATTGGTACTCGCTACACAGTTATAACCATATTCGCATTTTTCAATTCGTACACCTTAAGCTTCTATAGCAACCTTCGTAGTCCATAGGCCTACAATCTTTGCAGTCGATACCGCTATCACAATCGATACAATATATACCAAACGTATTGTTAGTTTGTTGTTGTTCATATTTTTGTCACTTTTCAATATAATGCCACATTTCTTTAAAGGCAAAAAACGTTAAACTCCTGAGTTCCGGTTTTAGTACTCGGGATTTTTATTGTTTTAGTTGACCAACTACCCAATCTACTGCTCTTAAACCCCATTTGGTCTACAATTTTTAAATTTGAGTGTGTTCAAAAAGTCGACAGTAGGTATACACTCTCGCCACACTCGCGCCCCACTCTCGACCTGTCAGAGTCTAGAGATGAAACCACTGAAAGAGATTAAAGGGCTACAGTAATTTTTAGGTTTTTAAAAAGGTCTAGTAGGTACCCACAAAAAGGGTTGGGTAGGTACCCGAAGTTTTTGAGTATCCAGAACTCTCATATAATACTACTATAACAATGGCAAAAAGTAACGTTACTTCCGAGTTTATTTTCCCGTTTTTGTCTTTTGTGGTGATGTGTCGAATTTCTTAACCCACCAGCTATGGAGATAAGGACGCATAGGAGTTACACACATGAAACTGACTCCTTGGAAAAGGTAGAAGTGTTGAAACTTTTAGTCATAAACTTTTCGCCCCATTTTAGACCCGTCATATCCTGGGCTCCCTCCGCAACGTAGTGCGGTCGGGAGTCCACCTGGGCTACTTGTGACTGGTTTTCAGCTGGTGTTCGCTTATCGTAAAAATGACATGGATTTTTGGCTGGTAACCTGTATTTATCAAGGAAAAAATCATGCGAATAATCCATAAAATTGACCCTGACCACTCACAAATACGATGTTAAAGTTGACTTTCAAACTCACAAACACGACGTTCAAACTCACACTCACGAAATTTGCCTGTCCGCTTTAGAACGCCATAGTCGTCCCATTTTCCGTCCCCCAAAATGAAATATTCCTCTTTTGTTACGTTAAATTGGCTCCAACATTTAATTACAGATTATCACATTTTCCTTTCCTGATGTTTGGCTCCAGAGGATATTTTAGGGGATAATTCCCTGGGGGGGGGCTGAAATTATGAAATGGTTTGATTACCACTTGATGAATAGGAAGTCACAAGGACAGTGTTGGCGTACATGCAGAACTGGACCAGGAGATTGTACCTTTAATTAAACGAAATATGTATGAACACCCCCTTTCTAATGAATGGAATAGGCGCACAGGCCGTTGAATTGAAAGCATATTACGCGCAACCCCCCCCCCCAAAAAAAAACAGACTAAGATTTGCTACGGTGAGAATTTTAAGTCCCCAAAAGAGTTACTCGGCGCATGTCCCCGACAAAATATCGTATAGATAATTTTGCCAGTGACAGCTAATTTATGCACTGCCTAAATTAGTAGGTTAATGTTCCTTCCTCCATGGTCAACCGAAGTTTTCGTTTTCAGGAATGGACAGGCACAGCTACTACTTAGTAGCTAACACATTGTGTTCATTTTTGTTACCCTCTCAAAGAATGATGCGGTTTCCTTACAACACACAGTTAAACTAGTAGTTTTGCAGTTAAAAAAGGAGAACTTCTTTTGCCATTGCCCCTTCGTGAAAACAGTGACGATAATCATGGGTTGACAATTACAGACGTCTCGTAGCAAGACTACGTGACGGTATGCTGCCGCGCCGCCCGCACGTTGTTATGGTATTGCGCAGTACGTCATTATTTTATTGTAGCTAGCAAGAGCCAGGAAAGTGTATGTAGGCCAGCGCCTATGCGTCAATTTTGTACGTGCCCGGTCCGTGTAGGTTCCTGTTGGTCAACTTCAACGGCTGCTGGTCAACTTCAACGGCTAGCAACGTCTGGAAAGTAAACAAGCAATTCAAATTGAAGAGGCTGTCCATTTATACTTGGTCGATATACCTCTTGAAGTTCACTGTCGGCCAACTGGTTCGCTCAGCTTGAGTACACAAGGCGTGACATGGAGGTATGGAAGGAGGAGATTCTACCTCCATGGTTTAAGTGGTTGCATAACGTTTCCTTCAAGTTCCACCGTTCAGTACAGTGGGTTATTCCGTGGTGGTCTTTTCCCACCTCCATGGTTATCCTTAATAAGCCTTCATGCATGCTGTTTTACGTTGATGTACTATTAGGCTTATACTGGGAACTAGAAAGGGGGTATTTGGACGGGAAAAATTGAAAGGAACGAGCGTCATTAATCCAGATAGACATCAGTCATTCAGTGACACCCTGTGAGCAAACCATGGGAATGGTCCGCAAAATTCCGTGTTAGGCCTATCATGATGTACTTAGGCCTAAAAGTTGTAGGCTAAATAGTTCATTTTCATCAGTGCCAGGCCTAGGCCCTACACATGTTACAGGAAATTTGACTTTTTTAGGAAATGTTACAGAAAGAGTTCCATGTACACACATTAATTTACTGTAAAAATGTCCTAACACTAACAGCTATCAGAAAGTGATACATGTACATGTAGTAACATTTCCTATGTTTTTCTTATAAAATATAAAGTAAAATTTAGCAAAAAAAATTCCCAAACATTTTGACATGTTCAAAACACTTGGGTTTCGGGGTTTTTTTCAGACAAGCCTCATAGGTTTGTGCACTTTGGCTGCTACATGTACATGTATCTGTTGTCAGGTTGTGCTAGTCCGAGTAACTTGAACCCTACAAATCACCTTTTTAATCTTTGGATATGGTCAGCCTTCATGTTCCATCACCCGACCATATCCAAATGTTAAAAAAGGCGATTTGTAGGGTCCTAGTCACCCAGATTGCTGTTGTGCACAGGGAAATAACAAAGAATCATGAATGCATACATGTGTCATGTGCATACAGCCTGCGGGTTTTCCAGGATTATTAGCACCTCAAATGCCCAAATGGATCTTTTTACCATGAAAATAACTGCAGTCAGTATATTTCTTTTTAACAGGCAACTTGTTTTACATTTTTAGCTTCCTTAACAATTTTAAATCACAAACCTTGATCAGATGCACTGAAAATACTCTTGATAACATGTCAAAGGTCGTATTTTGTAAACTTAGTTTGGACAAATGCTTCGTTACAACAAAAGCAATTTCACTTTGTTTCAAGTACAGAAATGCCACCTATTACATACATGTACAGGTATTTCACTGTACAGGTAACCGAGTGTATGTTAAGTTTCGCTCTACCAGTTTTCATGATTTTAATTTCTTCTAGCAAAATGTTAAGATGCAAGAACGGTTACTGAAAAATCAAAACCTAGTTCAGTTCTTTTTGTGATAAAGAAATACATGTAGTAATAAACTTGAACATTTTTGTTTCTTACAATTTTGGGACCTGGTTTTCCTGCCTCCACAGATAGACTATACCTGTATACACATAGCTTGTGACTTCAAAGGTACAGGTAATCTTCAAGGGGTTTCCTATGACATGTAACTTGCATAATGACATGTAACTTGCATAATGTGTACATTCCGCATATGTATGCATGTAGTGGTACGAACATACATGTACATGTATACAGTGCATGTACCAGACCGCACAACATGAATAGTACTTGCCACACAGATGCAGCATATACATGTACATGTATGTGCTGAAGAGGGTGTGACTAGATTTCAGAACTGGGCAGCACAGGCAGGGGGAGCATTTCTTTGCTTAATGGTAGGAGGTTGTTATGGCATTATGTAATATTGCATAACTCCTCTGCTGTCACTTATGTACATAACACTGTTGAAGCATAGAAGTGATTAATTCTGACCACATGTACATGTAGGAACCCAAGCTCTTGTACTGACTGTTATCAGTTCACATAATCTGGCTATCAGGCTGTTGCTGACATCATGGAAGTAGGAAAGAATGTAACTCACTCTGTACATGTACAAATATTGGTTGTATATTTCAAAAACTTTTTTGGCTGTTCGCTTTTTAAGAATGAATGATAAGCATTGGGGCAAAGTTGGAATGGGGTGAAAAGTGGGGATGGGGCGATGGACGTGGGGTGGGGTGAAATGGAAATGAGGCGAAGTGGTTGGGGGTGTTGTGGAAATGAGGCGAAGTGGTTGGGGGTGTTGTGGAAATGGGGTGAAATGACCGACACCCGTGTGGAATTCATGTACAGTATGTACAACTTTGCACATACATGTACATTTGGATACCTGTTGCCAGTGTGTTCTTTCAGGCATTGCATTTAGAGAATTGTTTTGCCAGAATTTGTTCCTTCTTGTTTCTTTACTAACAGACCACATGTACATGTACATGTATTCAAATTGTTCATTCAGGACAGCAGTATGGGCAAAGGAATTGTATATCCATCATGTACATGTATAAAGCGCTCTGACACATTAATGACAATAATACTGATTAACATATGTGTTACACTTACAGGGCAATTCCATCTTCACAGTACATTTACACATACATGGCTACCTTCATGTATCTTCCAGTGTTTGATCCAATTAAGCCAAGCTAGCAGTGCAATGACATTAGGGTAAGGGGTACTCGGAAATCCAGGTACTGGTAACAGTTAAGCTCAGTTCTTGGATTTTTGGAAAACAAAAATTTTGTCGTCACTCATATTACAAAAAAGACATGGAAATATGTCCATGCTGGATTGTTTTTAAAGTCTCCTTAAACTGTGTTGTGAAACACAACGGCTACATGTACCTTGTCGTTCGATTGGTCCATCCTATTGCTGTAGATACAGCCAAGTTTATAGTTTTGATTGACATGTACATGTAAAGTACATGTACATTATATTACAGGGTGGTACCGTCACGTAACCTCTCTCACATTACTTCCTCCTGAACGTTTTGTAGCAGTGCAGACAATTTACATTTCAGAAAGTATAGAGGTTTACAGCAGGTTTAGGGATGAAAAATCCTTTAAAAACTTTCTGGTCTTCCTTCTTAGGGTCAAATGAGCATTTCTCTAGTACCCCATGAGGTTAAAAGTAAAAAATCAAAGTAAAAACAATTGATAGCAATCATACATGTAGTGTGTTCACTGCGGGTCATTGTAAACTCCAGTTCCATGAAAGCAAATCAGAATTTCGATTTTTGTGCAGTGTGGATATCAGTCATGTCAGTGTACACTGTACTTAGTCGGTCACTGGTCGGTCACTGGTTAGCCTTTCTCCTCTTTTCCTCAACTTCAAGTATTTTCTTAGCAGACTTTGGCAACAGCTCTTTTCTATTTTGAGTTTCACGACTCTTCTTCACTTGACTGACATGATCAGCTTTATACAATTCATAAAGATCCATTTTTTTCTCTCTTTTTTCAATGTAGAGCTTCTGTCGTTCAGTACCAGTGATTGGCATTCAGGAAATAAACAAAGGAAATGCACCATTGTACAGTTTATCTTTTCAGTATCTCAAAGCATACCGGAAGCATCCTGGTAGCCAAAGTACCTATTTAAAAAGTGTGAGACAGATCTATGTACAACCAGATTGTTACTGGCCGGGGAGGGAAGTGTATAGGTCCATGCGTGATATGTAAAACTGCTCATACATTTGCTTAACCCTAACCCCCTAGGTATATGTAAAATCATTTTGTAATTCGAGGATTTGGGACTGTTAGGGTTAATTACAAGGCCAACTCGAAAAGTGGGGAAGATGTACATGTACAGGTACATATGTTACATTTAGATGCCATTTAAATGTACATTTAGTGTAAAACAAAGTAGCTTGTAAGCATGCAATGTAGCTTGTCTGTATGTATGGCATGAATTTTTATTGATGATGAAGCTAAGCTTGATTTTTTTTATTTGAATTTGTCACAGATACTGTTCATTAATATTCATTTTAATACTTCTCAATCTTAATAATAATAATAATAATAATAAGTTAGTATTTATATAGCGCCGGTCCATGATAAAATCGTGCTCCAGGGCGCTTTCCAAAAAGTTAAGACACTGGTTAAAACTACAATACAATTACACTAAAAACAATAAAAAATAGTAAAACAAATTATTGTAAACAATAAAAACTAGCAATTAAAACGTTTTAAAATGATCCAAAAATCTGTAAAATAAACCTACCTCAAAAAGGGAATTTGGACAATTAGATTAAAAAAACGCTTGCTTAAAAAGATGAGTCTTTAATCCGGATTTAAATTCACTGACAGACTCAGCTTCCCTAAGGGTTCTATTCAGCTTGTTCCACTCTCGAGGGGCAACAACTGAGAGCGCTCTGTCACCATACAAAGACAACTTAGTTTTTGGACAGTATAACCTCGTTGCATCTTGGGACTGGCGAGTGGATCTGTGGGAAACAGATCTAGTACTAACGATTCATTCATTTAAGTAGTTTGGACACTGACTGTTAATATATTTATACATCTTGAGGATGATGCTCCCAAATATCAAATGCCAGTGGATTTAAAACACATCTGCATGCTAGACAGTGATTTGTTTTGCAGCAAAACTCTGGAGGCTAAGAGCAAAGCAATGTGGGTAAACTACACAGAATTATGAGTTAACATACCCAAATGACCTGCATGACCTGTGGTTGATGAGGTGCTATACACCCTTACACTGCTTGTGTGATTCTAAATACCTAAGAGATGAAATCATTACGTAACTGGTATTACCTATTGTCACTCTCATTACATGTCCAGGGATCTGCCGCTGCCGGTCGGGCCCGACCGGCACGCAGAATTGCCGACCGCCACAAT